ATGGCACCTCCAGATAATATTATTACATTTTAACACAGGTCTCCGAGGTGCGTAGTAGTGTAAATCAGGAGTCGATCCATTTATGTCAGTGGTGTGTGGGCATTAGATGACAGGAAAAGCAGACTTGGGAGTGGTGCGATGTGCTTGTGTGAAACATGGTACAACTGTTAAATGAGGCCTTTTTTACTGACAGGGCTGACGTGTTTTCCAGACCATGACAAGCTACAGCAATATGAGAGAAAGAAAGGGTTTATTTGGTAATATCTTTTTATTGAATCTGCTGTGTAGATGGGGAGATCTTAGACAAGCCTTTGGGCCTTTTCCCTGTCATCTATGCAGAGATTATAGCGTTTTTGCCATTTAAATGTCCTGTGAATACTTTTTTTTTAATTGATATTCTAGAGTTTTATTTCAGTAAGGATGGACCCACTCTGGACATATCCTACAACTAAGTCTACCCCGAATTCAAGTGCATGCAAAGAGATTTTGCTCTGAATCCACCACTTTTACTTTTAGGCCAGCAAGGAGGGACGCCCTTTGAGTGCTAAATGAAATGAAGCACTTGCAAAGCGCTCTTGCTCTGTGACACTCAAAGGCATTGGCGTTGAACATTAGCTTTCGTTAGGATGGTGGAGGAACCAAATAGCTGCTCACATAAAGTCCTGTGGTCTGAAGCAAGGCAGGGGCTCTGGGTGTTGAGTGCTTTTCTGTGGGAGGCAGCTCCCAACCAAATCTATTTATCAGTGTGGCACTGAGTGCCCTCTTCACTCTAGGCCTGATACCATGCCCGCTGAGGTCAGCGGAAAACCTCCCGTTGCCTTCAGTGGCTTATGGATCAGGTCCAACGGCTGTAATGGGCAGTCAGAATTAAGAGGCTTTTATTGCTGTGCAGGGTCACACGCTTGTCATTGGCTTTAAGAGGAGCTGGGTCAAGCCCTTGCTGCATGCTGGGAATCCTCGTGTGTGTCATGAAAGAGTCTCCTGGCTCGCAGGCTGTCTTTGCTGTTAACACAGAGCTGGGTGCATCGGTCTGTACTTCGTGTGGGCTCTCTGGGGATCGGTAATTATTCATGTGCCTCCAAAGCTGCTGCCCCATCTAATTTAGTAAGACAAGCGCCCTGGCAGGTCTGATTCCAACAAATCGCTATTTCATGAACCCTGTCCTGCTCCTGGCCCTGCACCACAGGCCGGACTCTGCCATCACACAGAAGATTAGCCCCACTGGTTGCTGTTGTTACTCCATAGGAGAGAGCAGAATTAGCCCGTTGCTCCCTGAACCTTGCAGGGGTGCCACTCTCAGCAGGATGCATTAGAGCCAGCTTCGTTGCTTGGCTTGTCTGGGGTCAAGGTAAGCGGAGATGGCCTGGTGAGAGTCCAGAGTGACAGAGGAGAATTTGGGGCTCGTTCGCCACGTTTTGGCCCCTTGCAGGCTCCTGCACACCCATGCACAGCGCGTGTGGGAAGTCAGTGTACAATGCGGCCAGTTGCAAGCCCACCGCTTGGAAAGCGTGAGTTGTTGAAAGGGTCGCAGCAGCTGGCAGAGGATGCGGGCTGCTGTCACCTGCTTTCTGACTCCTGCCGGGATGTGGCAAAAGGCGTTGGTTTGCGTAGCTGGTGGAGTTCAGCCAGCAGCAAGGAGGGCTCTCCTGCCATGGGGGGACTCTGGGTGCGGACACACTCGCAGCCCTTGCTGTGTGTAGTGTGATGTGGACTATGCCTTTATCGCCATACAGTGCCTCAGTTCCCCCCTCTGTAAAATGGGCCTAACAAAACATCACTCCCACTTAGAGGAGGCAGGATTATTAATGAACTGACTCTGGCATGCTTGGATTTGGTGAAGATGGGTGGCTTAAAAAGCACCTAGAGAGACCTGTGGAGTGGATGCCTCAAATGGCAGCTCACCTCGGGGAAAAAAGGTCTGTGGTCAGTTCTATGTCCCCCTAGTACGTAGCTGCAGTTTCAAACTCCCAGTTTTCTGTCGGCAAGGCTCGCGTGATCTCAAAGGAGAGCTGTGATGCTAGATGAGGCCCTGAGCTGCTTGACGCAAATAAATGTGGAGCAGTGAGAGTGAATCTGGCCCCAGCACAGAGGGTTTGACAGGGAGCAGGTGCCTGCCCTCTCCACTGCCTCTTTTAACTTGGGGAGCAAATCCTGCCGGGTCCCGCTGCAGCTATCCACAGTGCTGGGCAGACAGGAGTGGGGTATAGCCCCATTCGGCCTGCGCACGAGTGAGTAAAGGGACCTCAGGGAGGGAATGAACTTGGGCGCACATTAGTCGTCTTTATCCTGGGTGCTCTGGCATGGATCTGGTAAAGCACTGGACATGAACGGAGCTCCCTGTGTAACATCTACAAAGCCATTGCAGTATCCTCCCCGAAACCTCTGCAGTGATGCCTGCAAACCACTGGTCTTTGACAGCCACTTAGGCCGCTTGACAAGACTCCCTCTTGCCTGGTTTTCTCCTCGCTGAGAATTGGTATCTCCGTTTCTCGCTTTATGCATACGCTGCAGACTCATCGGGACAGGAGCCGTCTCTTCTGTTTGACAGTGTCCTGTGCCCACGTGCTGGATGTCTGGGAGCCTGTTGTTAATGTTTCCCATACAGGGGAGTAAGAAAGACAAGCTAATGCGTTGTGGGTCTGATTCTGATGGTGGTTACGGCAGTTTTACGCCCACAAAACTCCATTGACAGGGGAGTTGCACCACAGTTGAGGGAAGGATTGGGCTCAGAGGACTGAACAGCATGAACAGCATCTCTTTGCGAGAGAGGCAGCTGCTATGCAGCCCCTCAGTGCCCTTATCCATCTACTCCATCAAGCGACAAAACCAAAGCACAACTTGGCTGAAAACAAATTTCTTTTAAGTGGCCCCAGGCACCAATATGCCAATCAGCAGAACGGATGGCAGGAGAAAGCCAAACCTGCAAGTGCTTCTGGGATGGTCTGTGCAGTGCAGCGTACTGAAATGGGCCTGCTGGATGTTGGATTGCCTCTGCCACCCAGTAACAGCTAGTCTCCATTAGCTCTGCCTTTGGCACCTGCCAAGCTAATCAGGGGCTTCACTCGGCTCCAGTGAAATGACTAGGAGGTGGCTTCAAGCACTTTGACCCTAACAGGTTCAAAAGCATCTCTGCCCTGATGCTGCCTGTAAACCACTGCATCTCGTTAGCTGGTCTCCGAGTAGATTAAGTGGCTATAATTGTCACGGTCAGCACAGATCGTCTGGCATTACCCACTCCAGCATGGTTTTTTCCAAGCTGTGTCTTTTCTCGTCATCCAAGCTTTATTACAATGCCTAAAATTGGTGGAAATTGAGCCCCCGGTTCCCTTAGGTGTTTTTTGAAGATAGCAGCAGTGTTGCCTTCCAGCCTCCAGATATGCTAGAATCCTTTATTAGTTCCTTGCTGCTGCCCTTCAGGGGCCTGTATTGCACTTGTGCTTTGAGGTTTATATCACCATTAAAGAATGGGATCTTTTATCCCCCCCAAAAAACAACCCCCTCCCCAAACCCAACCCCAAACAACCTTGCTTTCTCAGGATTATTGCATTTGAAAGCAAGGTGCAGCTCAAGGCAGGGTGATGATGGAGCCACGTCATTTCATAGAGCGCAGGGCAACTGTGGGTTTGGGGAGTTTTTGCCCAGTCATACTCATGACATGAGTTTTGCTTTCAAGAATTTGGGGTGCAGTTTCCCCCGAGCCCCTTTACCCATCTCCTTGAAACTCGGCAGGATTCATGCACTCAGCAGAGGCTACCACCCCTGCAATAATCCTCCAAATGGGACAAAAAAACAACCAAGTTATAGATATTTAATTGATTTCCCATTAAACCCTATGGCCAAATCTCTGAATCAGCTCTGGAGCTTCGGAGCCGATTCGGCCGGATCGAAGCAGGAAACTGATTCGGAGGTCCGATTCGAATTGCCGGCATCCGAATCAGCCGGATCCGATCGTGAATCGAATAGTTCCCTGTTCGCACAGGCCTAGTGTATACGTCTTCTTGCTAGTCTTTTGCATGTTGTGGCTCTAGGAGCATTTTTCTCCGATTTGGTAGAGCACGATTTGCATTTCCTGTTTTCACTTCATTTCCATGTCCTTTGCAAATCCATGCTGGTGAAACACAAACTAGCACAGCCAAATTTGGATGACAAATGTCCCTTGACTATGCACAAATCTGGTTTCTATAAGCATCATGAAAAGTCCACGCGGAAGAGTTGATCAAAAGTGTTCCAATGGAGACGTTTTCTATCAGAAAATGACATTTCATTGAGATCAAAATATTCCATGGAAAACTTTAGTTGGAAAAAAAGATGAAAGAAAGTGGCTTAAAGTCCAACCGTTATCAGAATGGAGTGTTTTGTTTTAGGTTTCAGCCCCTCCTGTCTTTATTCTCTTCCTTACTTTCATGTGCTGTTGCCCATCCCGTCATATATTCCTCTGCTTTAAATTGGGCTTGTGCAAAGCTTACCCAGCTTAAGGCTGCATTTGTGATTTGGTGTGAACTCAAGGGTCACAACGAATTTGAGTGAGATGGCTTGGATCTCTTAACACAAAAGGGACGGCGCAGAGGACTTGTAAGAAACTTGCGTGAAAAATTACCCTGATCTCTACGATATCAGTCCAGAAAGGTGGAATGGCTTTGACTTGTCACTTTTTAATGAAACAATCCACGGAAACCTAATTAGCAATGTGCGTGTTCCCATTAGGTGAGCCCCGTCACGAAACCCAAGGTGCTGTCCCATAAGCCACAACACATCTTTAAGAGGACGTTGTGCTCTACTGATGCAACAAATAGACAGGAGGAGCTGAGGGTGGTGAAAGAGTGACAGCAGCTAAGGACTAATGCAGGCACCTTTATTTTTTCTAAACTAGCTGCTGGGAATGGAGGAGCTGATCCTTGAAGTGGCCTCAAATATGGTTCTCACCCTCACAGCCTGCAGAAAAGCAACTCGGTGCTTTATCTTGTCCCTAATCTATCCATCTCCCCCATCCATGCTGGCTCTGGCAAATGCTTGGAGGGGAGCAAGCCAGGATCCAGCCTTCCATGGTCAGTGACCAACTTTCCTGGTTCTCAAACCCTCCCGGTCGGCCCCTAAAGGATCCAGAGCACCCACAACTTCTATGACGAGCAGTGTCCTCCTCCACTATTTCCTGTTTCCATATTACTATTGTATTTCTGTGTCCTGCAGAAAGCAGGGTCGAGTTGCACCTTATAGACTAAATCAGACATGCATAAGCTTTTGAAAGCAGCAGTTCACTTCAGCGTACTAAGGATCAGCTAGAAATGAGCAGGCAGAAACTTCCTGAGAGAGGCAGCACGTGGCTTGGACATCTGCCCCTGCTGAGAGCCTGGTAATGTTGGAAATATGCTAAGGGAACCGACTCAGACAGAGAAGCATCAAATGGTTTGAGGACCCTTGCTCAGACGACCCTGTGGTGGTCCTGGCTGTGAAAAAGGTATCTGAACAAGAAATTTCATCCTCTAGGGATCAGCTCGTGGAGAGGAGAGAGGACCTACTACTGTTGCCTTTAGATATCTTCCTCTAGCTCAGCTAATTGAGCCCTGAAGCTTGAGACCTGGGTTTGAATGTTCAGCCCAGAAGAAAGGGCTGTGCATGTTTGAGACCATCGCCGCGTCTGCAGGCCGCAGCTCACGTGACAAACCAAACCCCTCTGCCAGCTTTGTCCTCCGCTTAGCCAGAGTCCTTGTCCTCTGGTACCTCCTTGGCGTAGTTCTGGAAACGCTCCAACGTGTTCCAGTCGGGCTTGAACTGGAGGATGTAGCACTTGGGGAGGTAGTTAGCCATAAGGGTGCCCAGGACTGTGCTAAGGATGGCGCCCATCTGGGCGGCGGGCTTGTAGGTGGGCTTGATGGTGGTATAGGTGGTGATGAAGAAGATCCAGGTGAAGAAATAGGTCAGCATAGCGAACGTGATGCCCCGGGCCATGTTGTACTTCTTGCCTGAGGTCTGCACCATGAACGTGCAGAGGAAGCAGACGAAGGCCACGGCGCTGTTGAAGCCATGCACCAAGATGAAGAAGAGCCAGGACTGTAACCGGCAGTGGACCAGCGTCTCTGTGGGCAGCAGCTGGTAGTCGTACTCCAGCAGGGGAGGGGCGCTGCAGAGGGACCCAAGGCACAGCAGGCTCTCGATGAGGAAGCAGGAGGCCACCAGGATCCAGGCCCTCCTCTGGGTGACCCAGGGCAGGAGGGTGCGGGCACAGCTCTTGAACTCGGTCACCAGGGCAATCTGGAGCGACTTGACGAGGAGGGTGGAGAAGCAGATGCTGAGGCACAGGGCGTAGACAGGCTGGTACATCAGGCAGATGTAATGGCTGGGCTTCCCTGCGTGCAAGGTGGTGCTTACGCTCATCAGCGAGAGGCTGAGCAAGGCGCAGACGCTCATCCAGCCCCCGGCCGCCTGCACCAGGGGGGTGCTGAGGTTCTTGTAGAAGAGGGCAGCCGCCAGGCAGCTCAGGGCCAGGGCAACGAGTGTCAGGGTGAGCAAGCCAACGGTGAGCGGCTCCCCCCAGAAGAGGTACCTCTCGGTCCGGTCCCAGCACTGGATGCTTCGAGCCGGCGACCACTGGTGCTGGGGGCAGGGAAAGCAGAACATGTCTTCTGCAAAGAGCCAGGAGAAGGCGGTGATGGCCTCGTGCCCCTGCCCCAGAGACCAGAGAGCATGCAGGGCCCCTGGGTCACGGCTGCCCGATCCCCTTCCTCTCCAAAGGCTCCCTTGCTTTCCGCCTTCGCTCCCTTCCCCTGATCTCCCCACTCCACGCATGCACGCACGCCCCTCCGAGCCGCTCTCCCGCCATTCAATCCCGTGGCTGCGGCGGAAACGCCAGCACTTGAGTGAGACCAGGCACCGGGGCATGCACTTCTGTCCCTCCTGCACACAGGCCGCATCTTTGGGGCAGGGAAGCGCACAGGGCCGGACCCCGGGTTTCCTGCGCTCTCTCGAGCGGCGGGCCAGCGGCACTCACCCTTGCTGTCCTTGTAGGTGTTTCTGGGGCAGTCGATGCAGTCGTAACAGCAGAGGTGGAAGCCCTTCACTCGCCTCATCTGCCCTGGCTTGCAGTGGCTGAAGCAGGTGGACATCGGGTTCTGGATGACAAGGCGGAGGAACGTGGTCAGGCCTGAGCAGCTGGCCTCGGCACGCGCTGGGGTTTTTGTGATAGGAGCAGGAGGAACTGGGTTCAGAGCAAGCAGCCCTGAGCAGGGAGCGGAAGGTGAGGTACGGCATTCCCATCGTCATCCTCGTCTCTGCCCCCCACCCCTCGTTACCTTGTTATCCGCGGTGTGGAACTGGATCAGGGACTCGTTGACGGACAGGGCGTTCTCGTATTCCCCGACGGGGACGTGGTGGAGGGTGTGGTTCTGCCAGCTCCACAGCAAGATCTCGTAGCCCATGTTGGTGCTCTGGGACTGGTCGAACTTGAAGCTGTAGTTGTTCACCTCGAACTGAAGCGTCCTCATCACCTCCAGCAGCTGCCGGAGGAAGGGGGAGACACGACTGGCCGCAGGCTCTGGAGGAGCAGGGCTGACAGCCCGGGCGCGGACGCTCGTGGGTGGAGCACGGTAGCAGAAGGGGAATGGGGGGTCGGTCATCGCAGCCCCCGAGCCCCTGGAGAGGGGCAGGGGGCTGGAAGGAACATCCCCATCCCTGTTGTTTTAGCATTCGCCTTCGTGTGACGCTAACTCTGGGACAAGGCAAACAGCAACTACGCCCACTGTAGGGGGCTAAGACGTTGGCTCAGGACCTGGCTCTACTCTACTCCAGTCCCTGGGGTGACCTTGGCAAATCACTTGCTGCCCTGTGCCTCCATTTCCTGATTTGTAAAGCGTGGCCGATGCTCCCGTGTGAAGTGCTGTGCCAGCAGGACACCCTGTTGCTCTGTGTTTTTTGCACCCGGGGGTCAGTCCTTGCTGGACCAGTAGCACCTCTCGCTCATCGACTGCAGAGTAGCCAAGGGGCCGTGGAGAGGGGACACCCAGGGTCGAGCATCAGGTCAGTGGCAGGATCAAGCATCGAGCCCTTGTCTTGTAGCTCTGCAGCTGCCCCAGGACCACGCTGTGCTAGGCAGGGCAGGGCCAAGAGATGGGACCGGATGAGGCAGCAGTCTGGTCCTCTACAGCTAATCTGTGCTGCCCAGAGCATGGATGTGGGACAGGGAAGAGGATGAAGGCCACTCACGGATAGGGAAGGAGCCTGCAGGGTGATGCAGGGACCCGGCTCTCACTCACCTGCCAGGATTTGATGGGCACCACGGAGCACCTTTCCTTCGTGCAGCCGAGCACCTTGTGCAGGGCATGGGCCACGCTGTACACAGCCATGTACACCGCATAGGTCTGGCGGTGCGTCACAGAGGAGGCCACATCCTGCCAGCCCACCCGGTTGCAGTGCTCGCACTGCGGGCCCAGCACCCCCGACTCCATTTGGCGGCTCCACTCCCGGGAGGCCTGGCAGAAGCTCTCCTGCTGGATGGAGGCGAAGAGCTGGGTGACATACTCCTCAAAGCCGGGTACCTCGCCACCTTTGATGATGAAACCGATGACAGTCCCGATGGTGCGGATGCGAGGGATGGAGATGATGATGTCGGACATCACCCAGGCCTCGGTGGCAACCCAGACTTTCGGGCTCAGCCCCTTCTTGATGCAGCGCTCCAGCAGGGCCTGCGCCGGGCGGTCGATGGAGAAGAGCACGATGACGTTCACCTGGGTGGAGTTGATGTACTTAATCACCTCGTCCAGCTTCTCCCAGGGGTTTGGGGCTGACCCGTCGGTGGGGATGACCCCCTCGTAGGCCACGCAGATCCCGTAGCTGGCAGCCAAGTTGGTGAAGAGGCTCAGCCCTTCGCGGCCGTACTCGTCGTCGCTCCCGATGACGGCAATCCAGTTCCACTTGAACCTGCTGAGCAGGTGTATCATGGCCTCCACCTGCCGCTTGTCGCTGGGCACCGTGCGGAAGAAGGAGGGGTACAGCTCGCTGTTGCTCAGTTTGTCGGCGCTGGCCCCGTAGCTGACCTAGAGGGAAAGGCTGAAGCTGATTCTGGGGGCTGCGAGGGTAAAAGCCGGCGACTCCCCGCCGCCGAGGACCTGCCACTGCTGCTCCCTTCCTCCCTGGCACTGTCTCTTCACTCGGTTCAAATGGGGCGTCTTGCCTGTGCAAGGGTCCAGCCTCCCCCTCATCCCTCTGGTCACAGAGGGCTTCATGCTGCAAGGGCTGAGCCCCGCATGAGTCCTACAAGCCCCAAAGGAAATCAGGAGTGCTCAGTCCCTGGCAGCCAGCAGCATTCACCTCCATTAGACCAACAACCGCTACCGAAACGAGAAGGGGCCTTTGGTCTTCGGATGCATCCGCTGCCCCAACACGGCCCCCTTCCTTGCTGGGCTCTCTCACCGCCCCCTTGGGCGCCTCCTAGTCCAGAACAGATTTATCCCCACGACGCGCCTGGGCTGTAGGACAGTGCCGGGAAACTGAGGCGCCAATCCAGAAGGATGTGAAGGTATTTGAGCTCCCCTGGAGTCAGGCTGGGTATTTTCGTGCACTGCCCAGGCTGAGGGACTTGCCCAGGATCACACAGGGGACTGAGCTCAGACCTCCCACGTTCCCAGGCCAGTGCTCTAACCACTGGCCCGTCCCTCCTTTGACAGCCGTTGGGCCAAGTCTCGGGTCCTGCCCAGAGCGAGCGTTACCTGCGGGGTCAGGAAGAAGCTGAAGAGCTTGGCCGTCGCCATGCAGAGGTCTGACGTGTGGGGCCCGATCACAGCAGCCACGCGGGGCTGGTAGTCGGCGTAGTTGCACAGGACGTCGATCCCGGTGCTGCGCTCCTGGGTCAGGAAGAGCAGGCTGGGCTGCAGGGCCACCACGGGCTCGAAGCAGCTGTCGTAGATCTCGTAGCCCAGCCGGACCCCCGGGAGCAGCGCCGTGGAGTTGTTGATCTCGTCCACCGTAAACTTCATACCCAGAGCCCAGATGAGCCCCGCGGCGTACAACCTGCAGAAAGAGGAGACGGCACAGCCGGCACCCCTACCCCCTGCCTCTCCCACAGCCGGGG